TTGTTCCCCTTTTTATTTTTTTGAATTTTTATTTTTGTATCGCTTTCTTTTAATTCACAAATCTAATAAATATTCTACAATCTCAAAATAAATKTTCTTTATGACCTTTATTGTTTTTCAAATTCATTTTTTTTCTTAAATTCATTAGGATTTATTTRTTATTATATTGTACGGTATTTGTATAAAAAATTAATGACCTACAATAAGACTATTATATAGCTCCACAACTACCATTCCACTTGCAGGATCCTTTATATAAAGAGGCACTCTTTTMCCACTAATAAGGATTGGTCATCATAAACTTGTCGAATTACTTACGACCCCATATCTCTCAAAATTGTCTAACTACAATATTCTTGSAAAACTTTCATAAGTCGTAGGTTCTGTATTTTGCCAGTGAATTTTTGAAAATGGAGTATTATTTTTTAATTGACAGATAAATGTGTGTGTGTATGTGTGTGTGTGTCAGGGGTGTGTGTGGGTGTGTGTGTGTGTGTGTGCGCGCCCGCGCGTGCGTGTGTGTGTGTGTAGGGATATACATTTGTATAACTGTAGTCACCCTATTCAATTTTATACTTTTAAGCTTCACTATCTGCAACTGCGAAGATCAGTACCGGATTTTCCCAAGGTTGATATAGCAAAAATAGTCTCAAAGGGAATAGACAGCAATGAAATTCGTTGATATACTCTTATCATCGCAAGCATATATAGTAAAAGAATATATTCTTTGTCGTTGTCATTTGCCATTAGCCTATTTTCAGCTCCATCCAGGCTTGCAGACAACGTTAGTAATACGATGATGCCAAAAGGGACGTTTTTATGATAGCAATAATGATTTCACAAAACGGGAACTTTTGCAAAGTATTCATTTATGATGATCTCATCCTCATGTTAAGGGCCCATCTCGAGCTTTTTTGTTATTTTCGTTTTGTTTTAGTCGTGCATTAACCGTTCACAAAATATTCGTGCTTTTTATTGCTTCTTATTGTTGCAATTTTTCATTATCCCAACCCCCTAGATTTTTGCTGCTTTTGTTATAAATTTGAAGCAGGTTTATCGTGACTTTTTCTTTTTTATATGAGTGAAGCGCTCGTGGCTA